AATCTTGCCCCACTCGATACTCTTACAATTGGAGGCACAGGCTTTAAATTCGGTTTTGCACTAAAGTTAGCAATGTATATGTTTGTCTTATTGAATGCAATTTACAGCTGTCCGTTCTAACAAGGTTTTATCCATGAGAAGCAAACGGTAATCAAAAGTGAAAGTGCCACATGCCAAGTTGAAGGAATTTGAGAGCCTCAAGGTTATTGATTTAATAACTACGGAATGGAAAATGAGAGAAAATGAGACGTGAGCTAGGTGACCAACGTCAACTGTATACCAAGTCCAAACACAGGGTAAATAGACATCTACACTTTAAGGCAGGAGGTCACAGGTTTTAGTTTTACAAGTTTTTCGTTATCTTTCAAAACAGTTCTACAGTGCTAATAACATCAAGTTGGTGAAGAGAAACAAGCATATAATTTAAAAAAAAAAACTCTAGGGACCTTTTCTTTTAACCCAAAGATCTAGAGTCATGAAGCCAATTAAAGCCATACAGTGCTGGAGCAGTTTTGGGGCTATATAAACAGGGAGTAACAGACAGGGTGTGTTTTTGGCGGCACGGCTACCAAATTATGGGTTAAACAATGTGAGGATATGGGGTTAAAGTCATAATGTATTCAGAATCAGCGGCACACCCAGGATTTGGCTTTGGGAGAGGGAGCTCAAAAATTTTTGTTCAAATTTGATAGAAGTTCAAAAAAGTTCAAAAAATTTTGCCCATTTTTTTTTGCTGCAGAGAAAACATTGGGTTTTTTTTGGGGGGGGGGGGGGGGGGGGAGACTTCACGTTGGGGACTCCACCTACACCCCTATTACACTACTTGAAGTAGGCCACATACATATTACCAAGGTCAAATCGTGGGCCAAAAAAAAAACCAAAAAAATTGACAACCTCTTTGGGGGGGGGGGTTCAAGTCCCCCGAGGCCCCCCCCCCTTGGGTTGTTTATAAACTCCATTCTGAATAACAGAATCAAACACTTCATCCTATTGCTTGACCAAGTTTATGAGGTAAAAAAAACCATGGAATTAAGTGTACTGAGTATGGATGTAAGCTTCTTTTCTCTCAACCATGGCAGATGTTAAGGATGACTCTTCCCCCCCCCCCCTCTTCTCCATCCCCCTCCCCCCCCCCCCCCCCAAAAAAATGACAGATTTCTCACCTCAAAGTCAGTATAATTTCTTGACAGGGAAAGCAGCTTGTCAAATTCTTGGGGCCGCAAGTTGCTTAGGAGGTGCGTCATGGATTCGTAGGACATTTCGGTGGCGTCTGCGAGCTGTAACACCTCTGCAGCAGTCATGTTTTGAATGATATCTGGCTGAGGTCACAAAATATTACAAAGACTTACATTTAAAACCTGTTGTGTGTTTTGTGTTTTGATTTAATTGTCTTATTTTCTACCAAAATAATCTGTCATTGTTTGATATAATTCAAAACTGTAAGGGGAGAATGTAAAATTAATGTGGGAACTTGAGGTTTATCTGGAGGTTTATTTACAAGATTTAACCGGGTTTTGTGGGGCACCTCAGGGTAAAACCTGGAGTAACAGCCTGTAACTTGAGTTTATCTCGAGGTTTATTTACAAGGTTTAACAGGGTTTTGTGGGGTACCTCAGGGTAAAACCTGGAGTTACAGCCTGTAACTTGAGGTTTATCTGGAGGTTATTTACAAGGTTTAACCGGTTTTTGTGGGGTACCTCAGGGTAAAACCTGGAGTTACAGGCTGTGACTTGAGGTTTATCTTGAGGTTTATTCAACTTTATTTACAAGGTTTAACAGAGTTTTTGTGGGTACAAGGGTATTTTGATGCCTTTTTGGTTTTTTTGCTAATGCAAATTTCCATAATCGTGAGCAAAAGTGTGAAGTAATTTCAGGCACAAACGAGCTAATTCAGCACAAAAAGTTGTCAAAATTTTGGATATTTTGATGTTCTTTTCTTTGGTGATTCATTGCTGCCACAGTACATGGCAGTTAGCCGGTGAACAAACTTTTCTCACAAATGCTTTCGATGAGCAGATTTAGGTTCACATTTGAACAGAAAACCCCTAAACTTAGCAGTGTCTTCCTATAATGACATCACAGCAACAGTGCCGTCAGGTGTCCGGAAAAGCATGGACAATTTTTAAATGTTTGAAGAAATACTCTTCTGAATAAAATCACCCAAAAAGGGATGTCAGCTAGTTTTCATACATTTAAGAGGAGTAGAAAGTTGCACAAAATGTTTTCATGAGAAAAATTCATTTCATGGAGACTTTAAGTTCCAACAGTTTCACAAATGTTAACGTTTTGTTGCCAAAAAGTGCTAACATCCCTGCATTTGAATTCCTGGCTAATGTATTAACACAAATTACCATTCTCTTTTACAGTAAAAGTAGTCAACCGTTTGCAAACTGCTCACCATTTTTCCTTAAAATGCCCAAAAAATTCCTGTCCTTTTTTTGCCAGTTCCAAGCAGTTTTTCATTTTGTCTTTTGAAAAAACAAAATTCTCATCAGGTCCTCAAAAATATGATTATTTTCAAGGTGTCTTTTGTAGCCCATACTAAGTCTAGATCCATTCTTATCCTTTTGCAAATTACAAAAAAGGAAGATTTTTTTGATTGGCTTGAAAGAGTGACTTACACTGAGCCTTTTCAAGACAGTATTAGGGATGACGGGTTGCTTGATGAATACTGGTCTACTGCTGTGGCCATTTTGCATGGCGTCTTGCCTCTGCTTCTCGGCCTCGCGCATTATGGCCGTCATGTTCAAATCCCTCCATCCTGATGCGCCAGGTACGAAGAAATTATCGTAAACGTCGGCAACATCGTGCAAGCTGAAGGCAAGGAATAATATGGGTAAAATATTTTACTGAATAGTAATTGATTAACTACATGTATAAGGCACTCAGGCGCGGTTCTAGAGCCAATATTTTTGGGGGGCTAGGTGGATCCAGTTTTTTTTCAGGGAGGCGTGCTGAAATGTAGACCGGTTATTTTCTCCGGACACTTCGGCCTCCGAAAATCAATAGATAGGGGGGGGGGGGGGGGGGGGGGGGGGCTCGTGCCATATTTTCAATGGGGAGCGCTGATAAAATCCTACAATCAGGCACACTATATAAACTAAAAGTGTACAAATGCACCCTTCTCATTTAGGGGGAGACTGTTCCCATGTACATCAAATTCTTACATTTTGCTCGTGCAATTTTATTTTATGGAATTTTTGGGGGGGCTAATGCCCCCCTAGCCCCCCCCCCCCCTAGAACCGCCACTGAAGGCACTGTTTTGGTTTGCGATAACACAAGAACTACTGTCGTTCAGTAGATGTTAAGTTCGGATGAGAATTAAACTTGCCCAGCTGCTTATTATCAACTTTCGCCAAGTAGTTTGTAGTTCTGATAAGAACATCCTGCTTAGTTCAGAACTTGTCTTTAGTCTGACTATTTAGTTCTTGTCAGAACTAAAAACTACTTAGGGAAAGTTGATAATAAGCAGGACAAGTTCTTATCAGAACTTAAGTCTGCTGAGCTAAAAGCAGAAATGATACTGATACTCCACCTTGCAAAGCCTAAACTCTTATAACTATAAGGCAGTTGTTCGGAATCGATTTTGAATCTTTCAAAACAGTCAGTTTTTAGACACTCGAGGGCCAGTGGCATAACTATATCCAGGCATGCAACTGGAAAGTCACAAAAAAAAGGGAAATTCAAATCTTTCCAAGACTTTGTACAGTGTTTTTCTATTTTTAATGGCACATATAGGAAGTACAAAAAGAGGAAATCAGCTGATCCGAGGAAAAGTGCATGTCTGTATATTGGGTTATACATTAGGGGTGCACCTGGGGTGAATACATTTTTCAAGGGGGGGACTGATGGCAAATATTTGCTTTGAATTGAAGATCTGAAAGGGGGGCACGGACATCCGCTGGGGGATGTGACCCACAAGCCCCCCCCCCCCCCCCACGTCATACTTACACCACTGTTGAGGCCATGTTCAAAAATTAATTGCCCCCACAGCCACTTTTTACCCCCCTTTCAAGGTTTTGTTAAAATTAAATATACTTTACATCTTCTCTCCCACACACACAAACACACAATGTTGAAAGCTATCTAAGATACATACCTCCTATCATTCAGGATGTCAGCATCATGTTCTGCATACAAAAACACACACATTGAAACGCAGTAAAGATTAATTTCTATTCATTTTACCATCATCACACTGACCAAGCTATATGTAAAAAACTTTTACTCAAAATAAATTGTTTACAAGCAAGACTTTTCAAAGTATTTTTCAAGCAATTCAAATATTAAATAGGTCTTTAAGAAATAAACAAAAGAAGCTAAATGCAATTTTATATGGCCATAATGAAAACAAAATTTGCATGAAGGCACAACCATTTATACTGAAGATAATAACCATTACTAAGGGTAATAAGCCTACAGCTGTTACCCATTTCAGAAATAAGGGCCATTTAGGAACTGTGAGCGTCACACCAACTCCTCCCCAGAGATTGCACCTTATCTTTCCTAGTTGTCATAATGGAAGATGTGGTGTATATACACAAATCCATTTTTGCTTTGGAGTTTCTTATTTTGCCAAAAAAATGTTTGTTTTTTAAACTTTAAGCATCTTCAGCTGAGAGCTTTGCCCAGGGGCATGGCCATCTTGCAATTTATCTTGCTGTTGAAGGACAAACTTCAAGACATGCCAAATTAAAAAAATTATGTTTCTCGTCCGGGTTTTTGAAAAAAGGGAGGAATAGGGGCGTTTTATTTATTTTTTTTTCAAGATGGCCGCCATTTTAAAATTTCCTGCAACCGTTGGTGTTCCACTGTTCAAAGACACTTTTAAAATGAAAGACAAGTTGGACAAGAGAACTGAACATATTTACAGTGTCATTTAGAGTTGTATTGGTCTACAATGAACAGTTTTAGATGCATTTGCTTTAACCGTGGACTTTTTCGGTGTTTTTTACTGCATATTTTTCAAAAATAAAAAATAATTAAAAAATCCAAGCAGCCTCCAAAAGGGAAGCGGGCAGGGATGAGAAACATGGTTTTTTTTTAATTCGCCTTATGAGACAATCTTTGCTGGTCCCAGAGGGCCAGCCTAGTGTCCAATTTGTACATATCTATCTGACTGACTGACACCCCGACTGACTGACAATTTGACTGACTGACTGACTGACTCCCCGACTGACTGTCACTTGTGACTTTTAGACACGGTTGTAGACTGGTTTAGCAGCCAGGCAGTGCTATCATATAGGATTCCCACATAACGCCAATGGATGGACTGAATCTGGCCCATTGTGAACACCGGGATCCAATTTCCTGGGCTGCTTAAATTACAGAAAAATTGTGCTTACTTATAGCAGAAAATTGCGCTAACCTTAAGCACTATTTCACAACGTGGATGTGCCAACTGCTGCGCGCATAGAGATTTCCATTGTTACGTCACTGTAGGTTATTAAGCAAACTGAATCTTTTCTCTGAGGTAAGCGTGCCTTTTGCTGTGCTTGCTGCTTATGGTCTCCATGAACTACGCAAAGCCTCTGTTAACTCAAAATTGTGTGCTTTAATAGCAGCACCATGAAATTGGGCCGAGATGCTTAAACAAACTTCTGGTGAAGAGTCATCTTGAATCAAGTGAATAGAACATTTTGTACTCTACATTAGGCTTCCCTGTCTGTTTTTTTTTTTTTTTTTGTGTGTACCTGTCATGTCAAATGCTTCGTGCCACTGATGGTCCGGAGTTGGACTGGGCCTTGCTCTTTGATTACTCGAATCAGATGCTCTGGTCTCTGAGGAAATTTATGTACAAAACAAACATGTCTATTTATGCCATTTTAGGAACAAGAGCAGATCCAGGTGCATGGGTGTCACCGGGATTTATTTCTAGAGGGGGGCAAAGCACATTTTTTTTTCTAAAAAAATCCTTGTACTTTCTCTAGCATATTCTCAATTTTTTTTTTTTTCAAACCCACCCACATTGATACCCCTGTGGATGCCCATTTTGTTAAATGTATATTTAATTAATAGCAATATGACTTATAACTCTTTTTCTTTTCTTGGTTTTTTGCGTTGGGGTGATGGATTTTTTGCGTCGGGGTGATGTAAATGAAATTAGGTTTTGCCCTTTACGTCGGTGAAGAGCAAAACCCAATTTGATTGGTTTTTCTCTTTTTTTTCTAATTTTTGGGGGGCTTTTCCAGGGAAGGGGAGCACCCCCTTGCCCCCCCCCCCCCTTTGCGACGCCCATGACCAGGGGGACAACAAGGCCATATGCCCCCCCCCCCCAATAATAAACCAGAAAAGGAGTGAAGATGGCTGCTTTTAAATCGGCATTAGTTACTTTTAGGATTCCTCTATGTTTTGAACTCACCCATAAAACAACAGATGAAGGCCAGATTTAATTTTATCTTTCTGATTTATGGCTTTGAGCATTTTTTTTTAAGTCCAAGAACCATTCGGTTAACAACTGTTGCATGTGCAATGATCACTTCTGCAAAAACAGCAATGGTGAAAAAGTAGAGGGGTCCTAAAATAATGTAACTAAAATGCCTTTAAATTAATGCTGAATAAATATGCTCATCCCTTTTCCCTAGGCCTCAATGGATTTCTGATAGCTGAAAGAAAGAAAAAGAAAAACAAACGGAAAGAGTGACCGGACCCTTGTGTAAAATGAGGTCCATAAAGCCCCCGAGGAGAGGAGAGGGAGGGGGGGGCGGAGGAAGGGGGTCAGTAGAAAACAAGAGGAACACTCACCCAAAACTGCAGACCAAAGAGAACATCAACAGACCTGCTTGGAAAAGTTGCAGCATTGTTGGTACTGGATGTGTAGGCCTACCTGTTCTTGAGAGTTAAACTACAGTGAAAGCACCAGACTTGTTTTTAGGGCAAAGCATTGCAGTGGCTATCGTTACGACCATCTGGTTCCCTGACCTGACAATATTCAACGTCAGCATCTTTGGCTCTTGGAACCAGACTATCAACCGACTGGTTCTTAAACTTTATTTCTCTTAAAATAATCACCAAAGCATGGATCACTAAGAACAAAAACAAGTTCTTTTAGAACTTACAGCAGGACTGTTCTAAACAGAACAAAAAAAACTACTTAGCAAGTTGATAATAAGCAGGACAAGTTCTTCTCAGAACTAATATCTTCTAAGCAGTAGTTATTACCACATGGTGTTACCGCAAAACCGAAACGATACCGATACCCCACCATGCAAAGCCTCAATCTTATAAAATTTAATTAAAAAAAAATATGATTCGAAAAGTAAAGAAACTATTCAGTTAGGCGAAGTAAAAAAAAACATGTTTAGCGTCCCCGCCCGCTTCCTTTTTAGGGCCGTCCTTTTTTTTTTTTTTTTTTAAAAGACAAAAATTGATAACTTTTAACGATCTCTGACGAAAGAAATCATATTTTTAGACTTTTATACCGTGTATAAAGCTGTGGAAATAGTCAATGAGTCCAAGTGGCGGCCATTTTGAAAAAAGCTGGTAACCATCTTGAAAAATAGCCCGGCCGCGTTGTCTTGAAAAATGTGTCGGGCGGCCATTTTGAAAAAAAAAAAAAAAAAAAAAGGGCCTCCTCCTTCCTTTTTGTCAAAGAGGCAGGACGCTAAACATGTTTTTTTTTTATTTTGCCTTAGGCCTTGCTCGTAGGAAAAGATAAAAACCAAATTCTTGCAGCGAGGATTTGATCCCAGGACCTTCGGCATGGTAGTCCAATGTTTAACTAGTTGAGCTACCAAAGCGCTCTAGTGCAAATGGAGTTAGAAATGTGATACTGTCTATGTCACCTAACGTGGTGCAGGAATAACATGGAGAACTTTCATTTGTTGCTACTATAGTTCCTATCGAGCAAAAGGTTTACCTCAAATTTCACAGTAAGTGGAATGTCATCAAGCTAGTCTTAACATCCCTGTTCATAAATCTTGTGTTTTTCTACTGTCTTCTCGTTACAAAGTTAACAGAGAAATTTATATTAGCGTGATTTTCCAATTTTATTTTGAAGTGCACAATTAGATTGAATGAACCCTTGGCTTCAGGCCTAGGCCTACTTCGAGGCCAAAAATAAGAAAACAAATATTTTTCAGACAAACTTCTACTTCTAGTTGTACTAGTTAGGTATTTGAGTGGAGACTGGAGATAATAATGGTTTATGACTTTATGAGAATATTTCAACTTTAAAGAAATCGTAAATGTTAACTTGGGATTTTCCGAGATTTGTTCAAGTGCGCAACGTTTACGGTTTAAGAACACTCGGACGATTTTGTGCCCAATTTCCGGACGCTACCGCGTCTAATGACACTGGAATTGTTCACAAAAGCAAGGTGCAACAGCAAGTATTATTAAGGTAAAAGTACCAGTATTGAAGTGAATGATTTCAATTTGTCAACAAAGACGAGATTTAGCAACACACAGTATGTCGCACGTCGAGGGAAACCGCGAAGTGTGCCACGTTAGGGCCAGGGACTCCATTTTTTCGATTCGCATTATTGACATTGACACACAGCTAAAAATCGCGTTACAGCTGCCGTAACGGCAACTGCAATAACTTTCGACGTTTTCTTTCCCTGCACTCACTCTTATTGTTGAATTATCCGCCAGGGTTTAACAACCGGTTGAAGCTTCTGTCTTGGATGTATCGTTAGGCCAAAATCTACTTCATTGCATTTGCAGTGCAGACAGTGTAACATTTTTTTGCGATTTTTGTTATCAGTGGGCTTTTTTGTACGCATGCGCGGGAAAAAGTTTTCGTTACTTCTACGCATGCGCAAAACAATTTTGTACTCGTACAGCTACAGACTGGATAGCGTCCGCACAATGTACGAATTTGACGCCATATTGGTGAGACCGGCTGGTGATCTACAAAGGACAAGTTGTCGTTTTTATAGACAGCATCGGATTTCTTTTGTAACGTCGCGGTTCACTTGACTTATATTTTGACCACCATCACTGACCAAGGTTAACTACAATTTTTCTAACGTCGTGGTTACTGAAATGCCGCAAATATAACTTTTTCGGCGTTTTGAAATAATAATTACTACGGAAATGTGTCCCTTTAAGAACATCATAATATGTGTACGTGACCAAAATGCGCGTCAACTGTTGATACAACGCGCGCGTATTTACGCGTAGAACGTTCGTATTATACGCGGCCATCTTCGTGAGACCGGGGCGAATTGGTCAATATGCAAAGTCTACTGTGTGAATGTTGTATGCATATCCGCTATCCAGTCTTTATATAGAGATCAGTGCTACAGACCCATTGATCTCCACCAGTTTAATGATCCAGTTACCTGATAATTTGTTAGCATAAGCTGATGTAAAATTGGGCAAAATTAGATGTTTATGAAAAAAAATCAAATTCTAAGGGGTTAACCTTGCATTTTTTTTAGCAAAATGGGGAAAATCAGATGTTTCTTGAATTTCAGATTGTATGGGGTTAGATGTTTATGAAACATTTCAAATTGTAAGGGGTGAACATTGCATATTTTAGCGAAATTGGGCAAAATCAGATGTTTCCGAAAAATTTCAGATGTAAGGGATAAAGCTTTTTTAGTGAAATTTTGCAAAGTTAGATGTTACGAAAAATTTCAAATTGAAAGGGGTTCACCTCGCATTTTTTTAAAGCGAAAATGGGGAAAAAATCAAATGTTTCTGGAAAATTGCAGATTGTAATGGGTTAACCTTGCTTTTTGAATAAGATTGGGAAAAATTAGATGTTCATGAAAAAATTCAAATTGTAAGGGGTTAACCTTGCATTTTTGTTTAACAAAATAGGACACAATCAGATGATTCTGGAAAATTGCAGATTGTTAGGGCTTAACCTTGTATTTCTAGCAAAATTGGGCAAAAAGAAATGTTTAAGAAACATTTTAAATTGTAAGAGGTGTACCTTGTATATTTAGTAAAATTTGGCAAAATCAGATTTGTATGAAAAATCTAAAATGGTAAGGGGTTAATCTTGCTTTTTTAGCAAAATTTGGAGCATATTTTACTAAAATTGGGCAAAATCAGATGCTTCTAAAAAAAATCCAGATGTAAAGTTTCCGCAAAAACAGCTGTTGAAAAAGAGCCCAATATATGTTGAACTTTACTGAGTCTGAGGTCTATCGAGGGGACGATCCTTATTTCAACTCCCGGAGATTCGCTGACAGTCTCTATTTTTCTTTTTAAGAAAGTCGAAATAGCTGAAGAGGAAGGTGAGAATCTATATGTGCCCAGATACAAAGAGTAGAAATCTACGCGTCTGCCTTTTGAAAATACACAATTGCGGTGTTCATTGTTGCGTAATGATCCGCCTAGCACACGACTGTTTTGCACATTAGGCTGTGTTATGCAGCTTCCTAACAAACCAAGCACACTGGCTCAGTATATCGACTTGCTTTTACCCATTAAGGTAAAGCAAATGGACCCAGTAATCTTCCTGGCGCGTTTGCTCACCTATAAAGACAACTTTTCTCTAGTTTAAGGAAAATTCTAAGGTAACGAAATGGCCGAGTGGGTACGATTCGTCGTCCACGGTTAGCGGGGTCCCGGGTTCGAATCCCGCTGGTGTCTTTTTGGTTTTTAACGTATGAGTTCAATCATTTACTATAAGAGATTTAATTTCCCGTTGTAAAGTACCAACAGTACCTTAGCTTAATCGGTAAGCACTGCTGCTGGTACTGTCCGCGAGTTCCAGGTTGGCGCCTTCGTACAGGTTCAGGGCATGTGGTCCACTCGGAGGATCAGGGCTTAGGGGCCGCCCTGTTCCTCCCTTAGCTCTTTGCTTTTACATGGTGCCTGGCCCTCCGGGGTTATATGG